CTTGATGATTCATTTTGGAACTACGCCGAACCATGATGAACCATGGCGCGACTCCCGAGGGGCCTGATTAGGCCCAAGTGGCTGTCTATCTAGAGGGAGCTTTGAGGGAGAGTGGACTCCAATATCGTTGATGAGACTTGGGTTTGCATTGGTCCTCCTCCTCATCCTCCTTCTTTTGCTCCTCCCCCGATTCCTCCTCCATCCCCCCCCCCCATCTTGGGGCACGACGTCTTATCCAACCTTCTATTACACTTCGTTCTCCTCCACTCCCTGATCAGAGCAACTCGCCCGGTCATCGTTTCTGGATGGACTAGTGAGGTTCCGCGAAGCGTCTAGAATTTCGAAAGCACGTGCAAAGTACAATGGTTGGTGGTTGATGTTGTGGATTGGGTGTCTGGTGTAGAGTGTTGCCCTTAGGTGGTTGGCGTTGTGTGCTTGGTGCCTGGGCGCAGTCCTGTCGAATCTGACCCGTCGTGGGGTTTGGGAGTGAAACGCTTCATTGGGTCATTGGGATATGACCCTTTCTCATCTTCGCTCTCACCCTTCAACCCAGCCCCCGCCTCATGCTCATCCTTCACCCTCAAGCTCCGCCCTCATAAATGTGTATGCGTATATATAAACACATATATATATATATATGTATATACATATGTAATATATATATATATATACATATGTAATATATATATATATATGTGTATGTGCATGTGTACTCCTCACCATGATCCTCATTATCTCGCGCCTCGGATTATCCTCATCCCTTCTGCCTCCCATTCCTCCTCCTCCTTCTCCCCAGCGCCTCGAAGCTATGGGCAGTGCCACCGCGTGTCTGGCAGAACACTCGCCGCCTAGCGAAAACGACGGTCAACAGCGACAGGGCACTGCGAATGCCAATGTCGACGAGCGGGTGCAGAGCTTCTCGGTCGACTCGTCTTGGCGGGCGTTCCTTGGCGGCGCGTAGCAGGGGGTGGGGGGAGGGGGGAAGGCTTCTTAGAACGAGGCTGCTTCTAAGAAGGTGCCAGCCTTATATCTATAGCTACGGCCCACGTCTTCTGAGAAGCCAGGTGCTCTTCAGAAGCCTCCCCTCCCTCCCCATACCTACCCCCTCTGCGCCTGGCTGAGTCTGGGCGGGTGCTCTCTCGACGCCTGGTGCTCCTAAACGGCCCTGCCAGCTCACGACAGCGCATCTGCTCACGACAGCGCATCTGCTCGCATCTGCTCCGCTCCATCCTCAGAAAGGACGAGCGACAGCACAGGCGTGAGCTTCCGGATGTCCGCGCGGAGTCCTTTGGGTCGGCGATGGGCCCCCGAACCGTCGTGGGCCTCCGAGGCGCGCAGGCCGTCCGACGTCGACCGATGCCGGGCCACTGGCGGCGCTCGGCCTGGAACGCGCGCGCGCGCCGGGGGCCACCGCCGCGCCAGCGCGGCGGGAGCCTGCCGTGCGCACGGCTTCTGGCACGCCGTGCTTGATGCCATATCTTATCTCATGCGCAAAGATGTAGATGTGAGTCTCGCTGTTGATGTAGATGCAGGTGTAGATGTTAATGTAGCTGTCGGTGTAGATGTAGATGTTGCTTTCCTAGATGCTCCAACTCCCAGGTAGGGTCGCACTGGGATAATATTTTATCTCATGCACAAAAGACAAAAGTGCCGTCGCGCTGGCCACTCCCGAAGTGCCATGAAGCACCAGACAGCGGTCGGGCTCGCCAATCACCCTGGAAGAACATTGAAGCAAGCGCTGTACAGAATACTACGCGAACGTTCCCGCTGCGGTCGAGGCTGCCGTGGAGTCACTGTTGAACTGGTCGGCGGGCGAGCTCTGCAGGTTCACCAGCTCCACGCACTCGGCCGAGGGCGTGCTCACGTCGCTGTGGTCGTCTTCGCCCAGAAGACCTCCGACAGCAAACCCCGCTCGCCCTAAGTGCTTCACGTACACGTTGAAGTATGACACGCCGCCGTCTGTATGCCCGCGAACGATCTTCAGCTCGACCTGACCAAAAACAATCCACTTCGGAGCCTCGACGTCACTCTGCGACAGGCTGTAATGATACCCTCCGGCTTGCGTTGAATCTGCCCACGACCCGGTCACGTTCAAGTCTTGGAAGTACATCTCTGCGCACTGTCTACCCAGTCGGCGCGCGTCGGCCTGCACGCGAAGCAATGCTTTCTCGGCGCGCTCCCCACGAGGGATATTGATTAGAACGTGCCTGCCTGGCTTCAGCAGATCGAATCGCTCGCCATGTACATTCTGAAGATGGGGGTCGCCGACAGCCGAACTCGACCCCGCCAGTGGGGGCGTTGGCGCTGGCGTCGGCGACGCCGTCGGGCTGGGCGTCGGTGCCGGTGTTGGCGCGGGCGTAGGCGCTGGCGTTGGCGCTGGCGTCGGCGACGCCGTCGGGCTGGGCGTCGCATCCTTCATATACCCGGTCCAGTCTCCTTTCCAGACCAGCGCAGCCCCTGCTCCACCACAGTACTGCGCGCAACCGCCTGCCCAAGTAGGGTGCACGTTGAAGCCCAGGCACGAAGTCTGCGAGCTGCAATACGTGGCAGCTTCTGATTCGGTTGCCGGGCATCCAGGGCCGCCGTCGAACAGCGTGAGCCCCACGTCCGCCTCCCCAACGCACCAGTACCCACCGTGCGGACCAGAGTATCCGGATATGGTGTCCCACGCCGCCGACGCATTCGCAGCAGAACCTGCCCTGATAGAAATAGCGGTGGCCACGGCATGCGCCAGCAACCGCAACATGCTGGGGGCCTTCAGGGCTGCCATCCTAGAACCAAAGGGACAAATGTATTAAACTATCGCGTGCAGTTGCGGAACACAAGCAGAACGGGTAGGTTGTTAGTGTGCTCTTCTGGGGGGCAGCCTGTTGCCTTAAGCCAGACTTGCAACGGAGGGCACACCATAAATGATCGAGCATTCCAGGATGAGTCAGCACCGACTCGGGAAATCGGATCGAATCGGAATGCGCACGCGTCAGATCGGCCGGCTTCGGCATGGAATCGAAATCGAATCGGATGCACAACGACACTTTTCTATTCATCGGGTCGCATCGCGTCCTCGGAATATCGGAGTCGAATCGGATCGAGCTGGCTGGACTCGAGATTGGATCCGATCGATCGGATCGAAAGGGACCGTGCGTTTTCCAGTCTCGAAGCTCCCCAGAGGCTCTCGGTCCTGCCGTTCGTTTGGATGCCATGTTATGGGATGTCTCCTGCGGGCCCCGCGGCCCAAAAAGGGCCCCGCCCTGATGGTGCTCAGCCTTGCGAACTTCCGCGCCGGCGTCGCCGCCGCGTCGAGGCGACGCGAATCGCCCAGAGGTCCTTCTGCAGGCCCCAGCAGGCACGCAGAGGGAGGTGTCCAGAGATCCCCGGAGGCCTCCCAAGCCCTCTGGAGACCCAGAGAAAACATCACAGTCGCAGCAGCCTCGACGCTCGACCCTCGACCAGCGTCCTCCCCCATCGGCACGAGGGAAAGGAGCCCGGAAGGAAGCGGGACGTGGAGACCCCGGGGCGCTTCCTGGGACCAACTTTCCATCCCGAATCGCTTTGTTTCATTCCCCTCGGGCCAGGGCACAAGGCCGCAGAAGCGCCGAAAACTGCCGAGAGCATCCGGACCCTTGAGGACCAGCATAACACAGCCAACCCGCCCTTTCTCGCGGGGCCCAGCGAAGGCCCTCGGAGGCAGAGTGCGGGGAAGCACCGGCCGTCGCCACCCCTGCCACGACGCCGGGAGGCGCGGGCCCCTCCCTGGAGAGCGCGGGAGGTCCTCTTTTAGATCAGAAGCCCCCCTGGGCGCCGCTCCTGGCGCACGACCCGCGCCAACGAGCGGGCTCTCCAAAAATGTCATGTTCATGCCGCGCTCCGCCCCTCGGCTCCCTTCCCCCCCCCCTCTTCCTGACCGCGGGGCTCTCGTCGCGCTCCAGGGGGGGGGGCTCGGGGAGGAGCCCTGCTCGTCTCTTGCCCCTTGGCGCCCCCCCTCCCTCGCGCAGCGCTGCGGTGACCGCCATGGGGGAGCTGGGGGGGGGGGGGGGGCCTCAGTGCGACACCGCGCTCCGCCCCGCCCCGCCGACCCCCGTGCGCCAACCCACTGCGCGGACACGGCAAGTTGGCGTCGTGACGGCGTCGACGACGGCAAGTTCGTACCGTGACGACTCGCGCGCGTTTGCTGGGCCATTCCAGGGGCCCTACAGGGGCCCTTGTCTGAAGCCATCGCTGCCCAGCCCATGCATCGCCCTCCCATCGCGCGACGCCCAACAAGCCCTCTGAGAGGCCTCCTCCGGAAGCCTCCGAACGCCTCCGAGAAGCCCACCCCCCCGTGACCGTTGGCCTCTTCGACGACGAGGCCGCGGACCTCTCGCCCGTCCGCCCGCCCGCCCCCCTGGCCTCGCCCTTCCCTCGTGGAGGCCTCAACGACCTCAGCTGTCCCTCTACGAACGCTGGAGCTTCCACGATTTGCCCCGATGCCCCTGGACATCTCGGGATGTACCTCGAATGGCTTAGAAGAGCTGTAATATAACGATTCGTAATAGAATGTGGGGGGGCGACTAACAACAAGGTTTCCGAGCGTTCGGTTCCCGCGTCGTTTCGGCTCTGGCCCGTCGACTGTCTAGGCGCGCGCCCGAAGGCGGGGATGAACGATTCAACAAATATTTTCCTGGCCCGGAGCCGGTTGTTCTGATCATCATCCCCAGGCGCCGCCGCGTGAACACGACCCCCGGTAGGTTCTTCATCCTCGTGCTGCACGAATGTATCCCCACCTGGAGAAAACCAGGCTAGTGGCACACAGTGAGTTGGCACTACGTGGCAGCACGCATGTTTAAAATATGTGTGTTAACCGTGTTTGAAACATGTGTCTGCGTGTTTGAAGTATGCTCTAAACATGTAGTAGACATGCAACCCCAGCGGGCCCGCACAGAGGGTCACGCCTGCGAAAGGCCATGCTTAGGTCTCGTCGATCCTCGCCGCCCTGCGCCCCTCCTCAGCCGACCGCCCGGCGCCTGGCGAGCCCTGCGGCGGCCGCACGTGCGAGGCGAGGCAGCAGAAGCCAGGGTGGGAGGCCTCGCCCTCGAAGGACCGGGCGCTCTTCTGGGCGAGGGGCCATCTCTCGCTCGCTCATCCTCCCGCTCCTCCTATCTCCCTCTTTCCCTCCCTCCCTCCCTCTCTCCATCCATCCTGCTCCTCCACTTCCTCCGCACTGAAGAGAAGGTGGGCACGAAGCGAGCAAGGGAAAAACGGGCGGGCAAGAAGCGAAGGGGCGAGGCGTGTCGGCTGAAATTCCCGCATGTATTACAATGAATTATACAAGAAGCGAAACCCCCGCCTTCAGCGAGGGGTTCCTCCATCGATTCGAATTTTAATTGAATTCGTGGGCTCTCACCGGGCACGTTTCAGCCACCCGCGGGTCGGATACTCCGGCCGCCAAGAGGGAGGAGGGGGGGGGACGAGGAGAGGGGAGGGGGAAGGCGAGGCGCAACTATCAAGCAGGGGCGGCCAGCCCAGAGAGAGAAAGGGAGGGCGGGCAGGGGCCCGGGGGACACGGGGGGGGGCGAGGGTCGGGCGTCGGCGTCGGCGGTCGTGGCCCACTGGCGGGCCGTCGTTGCCGCCAGGGCTCGGTGTCGTCGGTGGCTGTCGTCGGTGGCCGTCGTGCTGTCGTCAATCGGTGCTCCTCCGCGGTGGCGCTGTTGCTGCTGTACATGGTGGCACTCGTAGTGGCTCTCGTGGTGGAGGTCGCTGTGGTGCTGCTCATGGCGATGGCGCCGCTGCGCGGGCGCGCCTCCTCCTCCATCCCTTCTCCTTATAGATGTCGTCGTCGTCCACCTCCTCCTCCTCCTCCTCCTCGGCGCTCTCACGCTGTCGTCCCCCGCCGCCCTGCCCAGCGCCCACCGCCGACGGCCGCGGGCCGGGACAGCGCGGGCCGCATCGGATCGCCAAAGAATGTCGGGAACGAATCGGATCGGCTCGGCTGGAATCGATGTCGAAGCAGCTCGATCGGGTGGAGAAGGACCCTGCGCTGCCCCTGGCCTCCCCCAAGGCCGGCCCTGCCTGCCAGGACGTCGCCAGCGCGGTTACCATCGTCTCGATGCACTCGGTGCCCATGGCCTGCACCACCACCAGCAGCCGGGCGTCCCGGGTGGCCTCGTACTGTAGCCACCGCTGGAGAGCCGCTTGGTTCTGGAGCTGACGACCAATAAGGTTGAATGTGACTATGCCTTGCTTTACCCTCTCAAAGAACGATTTTTCGAGGCCAGGTAACCGTCAACACCCAAATGCAACTGGCGACATTCGGGGTCACATGCCCCGCTCGCTGCATGCCTCTGCTAAATCTGGCGCGTTGTCTAAGAAGGGCAGCCCTGCCAGCGGCGCACGTCGGTAGCGCAAGCTGTGGTGCTACAGCCAAGAGGACTCCTGCTTACAAGATTGGGAGATCTTGCGCTGGCGGCTTGCCCCCGCTCCCGCTCCCTATCCCAAAGAGCGAACGCCTCTGACCCGCAGGCGCACACCACCTCGCTCGGCTTGCCGTCGCTCGGACGTTCCATCCCCGGCTTCGTGTGTGTGTGTGTGTTTTTCTTTTTCTGCGGCTCGATGATCCAGGATGCATAGAACAGGGCTAGGATCGGGATAAATCGCTCCAAAGCGTTCCGGAGCGCTCTCAGAGCGTTCCGGAACGCTCTGGAGCGGCCGCGGCGCCCAATACATCCTCCAAACCCGCCGATTCTCAGAGATTTCGAGCTATCCCGATCCGATGTTGTCCCGATCTTCGCGTCGCTGTCATGCTCCTCGACGGCCCTCGCCGAGAGGAGAACGCACACGCCCGAGCGACGCCAAAGCGGACCCTCCCGAAGAGCGACGGCGGCCCGCCGCACCGCGCGTCCGGCGAGGGGGGCGCGCCCCGCCCCTGCGCCCCCCCCGCTCCAAGGCGCTGCCGCTGCGGCCCCGGCGCTGCGCCTGCCCTCTCCTGGCCATCGCTCGGACGTCCACTCCCTGTGTTCTTTGTCGGTCTCGTGCGTGGTTTTTTGAAGGGGCCCTGGGACACACAAAGAAATACACACCAATAAAAAGATCCCCCATCTTTTCCCACATTTTCTGGGTTTCTGTCTTCCCCCCCACTTCCCATATTTTCCCATATTTTCTTGGGGATCGACGATTAATTGTGTCTGTGTGTGTTTTTCCCCTCCTGGTTTTTTCGCCAAGAGATCAAGGATGCTCCTCGATGGTCCTCGCCGAAGGAAAAATGCACACGCCCGAGCGATGCCAAGTCTCTCCGCGCGGCTGCCGCTGGCTCGAGCCCGGCAGAGCTCGCACAGGAACTGCCAGCAGGTTAAAGCGACGCGAAGATCGGGACAATATCGGATCGGGATAACTCGAAATCTCTGAGAATCGGCGGAATTGTAGGATGTATTGGGCGCCGCGGCCGCTCCAGAGTGTTCCGGAACGCTCTGAGAGCGCTCCGGAACGCTCTGGAGCGATTTATCCCAATTCCTAGCCCTGTTTTACAGGTGGCCTGGCCCCGACCTCCAGGATCAAAGCCTCATCGAGAAGCCCAAGATGGCCTGGCAAGAAACACATCGGGGCACCCGGAGAGGCGGAGAGGACGCCCAGACAGTCTGGCCCGGGGGGGGGGGCGGGGGCCGAAAGCCCGAGGAGGCGGCACCGACGAAAGCGCGGCACGATCACAAGCAGGTCTCCACCAACCCCTGATGACGATCATCACCACCAACAATATCATCGTCGACGTATTCGTCATCACGTGTGTCATCGCCACTGCCACCGTGAGCGTCGTAGTCATCGTCATCATCCACGTCGTCGTCTGCGGCTCCGTGGTCACAAGCGCGCCACGGCATGAACGCTGCACCTCTCGAGCAATCCCTCTCACGGTCTGAATGCGCGCCTTGAAGACTAAGTTGCCCAACCGCTGTGCATCTGTGCTGCTGGCCACGCGGATGATGTCCTCGTCAGCCACCTGGCGATCTGTATACACCCTTCGCGCTGCCCGACCTTTGGATGCCCTGTAACGCAAAACCACCACAGCCTCCTCCATTGCGCATTGTGCACCTGCAGGCGTGCCCCTCAAAGCCGTACATATCTCCCTCTCTCTCTCTCTCTCGTTCTCTCTTTCTCTCACTGTATATATAGATCTATGGACGTCTCTTCCTCTCTCTCTCTCTCGCTCTCTCGCCTTACCTCTCCTTCCGCAAACATAAGCATGTGGCACGTGCGTGCTCAGGCTCATACAAGCAACAATGGTCGGTCACCAGTGGGGTTGTCACAGCTTGCGATTAGACGAAATATTGAGAAACACTCCCGTGGGCATGAAACAAACAAAGGTTAAAGCAAGGTTTGATAACTAGACGATGGACCAAACAACAAACCAAACAAGAAAACAAGTTGTTCTAACTGCACAAGCCCACTGAATCCGAGTTATTTTTGTCAAGGCTGCATTCTGACATGCTGAGGAACTACACAGGAAGCTACTGAAGGTCACATGGTGTTCGATTTGTTATGTGCACAATCATTAATGTCACGGTGTAGTTGCAACTACATGACTTGTGAGACCCTGACGTCCTGATAAGCGTGGAGGCCGTCAGAGACCACCGCCAAGAAACGTCCAACACCTCGATACTTGAACCTCGACCCTCCTCGAGAGCGACGAGGCACGGCAGGTCAAAGTCGTGACAACGTTCTGCCACCGCGCGGATCTTTCAATCCTGAATGCTCGCGGCCTTCCGATAGTGCCGATCCTTCGACGTCGGCCGATGCCCACCACTGGCGGCGTTCAACTTCGCCCGCCCGCTCTGTGGTCGCCGCCGCGCCCGCGCGCGCGACCCTGCCGCAACTGGGCAGCCGCCCGTGAACCGCCGATCAGCTTGGACCAGTACTGGCCATCGCTCGGACGTCCATTTCCTGAGTTTTTTTCGGTTTCGTGCGTGGTTTTTTCGCCAAATGGTCGAGGATGCTCCTCGCTAATCCTCGCCGAAGGAAAAATGCACACGTCCGAGCGATGCCAAGAGTAGGAGCTCACCACTGGGGGGTCAGAACCCGCGGGGAGGCACGAGCAAAGTGAACCCCCACTGGTGAGCCCCCTACGGGCCGCATATGGTACAGTCATCGGCCTGACCTATCGAACGATAAATAAGGAACGAAGCTCCTCACGGTCAAGGAATCACGCATAAGGAACGATAGCTAATGCATAACGGGTAAAGAACGATCGATAAATGTAAACAGAAGGAACGACCGAGCCCCTTTTGAAAAGTAAGTGTTCCTCATTCTAGCCGCTCGCTGTACTCTGGGTTGTTTTATGAGCACCCCTCCGTGCCACCCCGCCCGACGGCCCGTTCCCGCACCCCCCCCTCAGGCCCACCGAGCCCAACCCCCCAGGCGTCAGGTGACGCGACACCCCCACGCCGAGCGAAGGGCAGCCCACTCCTGCACACCCGCATGGCCCAACCCCCGCGTCTCATCAAACGACTCGGACTAGGGCTCCGGGGCGCCCAGGGCCGCCGTGAGAGGAGCAAAAGACTCGCAGGGGACCTCCGCGCAGCTGCGCGACGTGTCCTCCACGGTCCGCAGCTCCAGCCGCAAGCACCGCCTCGGGAAGTTCACCATCTCGCCTCAGGGAAGCAGAGCACACGACGGCCGCCACGTGCCACCCGAACTGACGAGACCACTGCGAGAGCAAGGCAATACCCGAGAGCGCCACCACGCGCACTGGTCAAGACCGAGCACTGAGGCGCAGCGCCGGCCAGAGGTGGAGCCCGTGGCCTCTGCACGCGCTGCGGGGGCCGAGGCGGAAGCCAAAGGTGTGGCCAAAGCTCAGATGCGATTAGAAAGGCTCAGCGCTTGTCTCTGACCCTCCAAGCCACGCTCCTTGTCCGAACTCGTCGCCGCCCCCCCACCCTTCCCTTTCACGAGAGCAAGCCATGAGCAATCAGCTCAGCCAAGTCGAACGAGTCGGCAGGCCTAGGGCTCCCAACTTCGCGCTTCGCGCTCCGCGAAGCGCGAAGCGCGAATAACTTCGCGCTCTCGCGCCGCCCTCCCAAAGGGAGAAGAGGAGGACGAGGAGGAGGGGGAGGAGGAAGGAGGACGGCGAAGCGCGAAGCGCGAATAACTTCGCGCCCTCGGGGGAGCCCTTGGCTTGATATGGGGAACGGCACGCGCCGCCTCCTGGCGAACGGAAGGCGATCGCGCGCGGTCCCGCTTCCGAGGACGTGGCGATAGAGAAAAGAACGCGGGCCGCATGATTGCAAAAAAAAACCCAGGATTGCAAAAAAACCCAGGATTGCAAAAAAACCCTTCGTTTTTTTGCAATCCTTCGTTTTTTTGCAATCCTTCGTTTTTTTGCAATCCTTCGTTCGAGTGGGAGCGACACGTCACAGCCTCGTCGCGCAGTCCTGCGGTGAGAACACACGCTTGCCGCCCCCGCGCGGCGAAGACACGGCATGCGACGAGCTGAAACGGCACTGCCAGCCTTCACGCACGAACTCCGCGGCGCTCGGCCCAGGACAACGTCTCGCCCGCTCTCGCGCGGCCCCGCTGCCGCTGCCGCACTCGTGCCGGCGCCGCTTCCGAGCGAACCGTGCACGGAGCATCGACGGAGACGTCAGGTCGCCCGCTCGCGTGCGGCCCCGCCCCCGACGACCTCGCGAGGGAAGAGCGTGCGCCGCGTCGGGGCGGGGGCGCCACCTCCGGGCGAGAGCTGCGCGGCGCCGAACACGAGGGCTGCGGCATCGTCAGCTCGCGCGTCGACGGATTGGCGAACGAACCGTGTGCGCCCCACCGGATGCGCGCCCCGTGCCATTCCTGCGACGCATTCTGCAACGTCGACGCCGAACGGTCGATGCTGAGAGGACAGACGTCGGCCTCGTACGAAAAGGACCAGATGGCCTAGTAGGATAATATGCGAGTCAGGAACAGGGATGAGAACAGGAGGAGACAGAGAAACAGGTGTCAGGACGAGGGGTACCGGCACGCAGCAAGAGGTGGGGGGAAGGAGGAGGAGGAGGAGGAAGCAGGAGGACGGAGGAGGGATGAGGACGGAGGAGGGAGGATAATCATTCAATAGTCATGCATCAGGGGGCAAGGGCAGGGGAAATGAGGGCAGCGACAGGACCACTAGCTCGCAAGTGGATGGCGAGAGGCCACCCACCGCGCCAGGATCGCCTGTCGCTAACAGAAGGAGGAGGCAGAGGGCAGCAGGATGAGGAGAGGGAGGAGAGAGGGGGTGGGAAGCGGAAAATGAGGGCGAGGAGGAACGGCCTCGGCCCACCCGCACGGAAGCTGATGGCGCCACGGCAGGCTGACTTTTCTCCGAAGCCCGGGCTGCGCCGAAACTCCAAGGCAAGAGCCCGTCGGCGACGAGGATCACCGAGCAGCGGGGCACCGCCAATAGCAGCACGCGAATCATGTACGGCACGGAAGTGACACGTGGACCCACCGCGTCTGCGTGAAGGCCGTCAAGCCATCTGTTGGATGGCACGCTATGGCGAAGACTCTAACAGCGCCTCCATGAAAATGCGATTGAGGTGGGTTGTAGCCTTGTCCTCAAGATGGTAGTCGTCCTTGTAAATACCTCCATGCGCTTGCCCAGGATAACTCTTTGTCTCACTGTACGCATCGAGGACATCCCAGCCGTATTCCTTCGCAAGCTTTTTCTCCGCATTCACAATTGATTGATGGTCATGCGTCTTGTCAGTTCTCGAATGGGTCACCGTTTTCCATATGAATCGAGTCCCTTCACTCTTCTGGATATGAGCACCGGCTGCAAACAAATTGCGCAAACCTTTCGAACTCAGATGACCCCATTTGCCGGAATTGAACACAACGTGCGTCGGCTTGGGCTGCAGCTTCATTACCACGCTACTCAACAAATGCACTGCACCTAAAGCATTCTTCCACTCTGCTGGCTGTTTGACTGTCCAACGAAACGGCGCAGCGCACTTCCCAACTAGTCGGCAACTGGCCTGCGCGGGACGCTCGTCCGAGGGATTGAAATACCCATTGAAAGAATAACCACCAAACCACCCAAAATACGAAATCGACGACCCGTTCCCGGGCAGTGAAAGGAAGCGATCCTCCACCCACTCACTGGCCACGCCGTTCGGTCGGTCTTTGCGGCCACAGTGGCAGATCTCCGAAGCGTTCTCGCCCTGCAGCTGCTTGTTCTGAAAAAGGAAAAATCCGCCGCCGTGCCTTCAGCACAGAGTGGAGTGGGCCTCGAGGCGGGCGCCTTTTTTGAAGTCGGGGAGGGAGGGAGGAGGAGGAGGAGGAAAATAAGAAAAAGGAGGAGGAGGAGGAAGGGGGGAGGAGGAGGAGGAGGAGGAGGAGGAGGGTGGGCCTTGCAAGTTCTGCAAGGCCCACGCCCCGTTGGAGAAGTAATGCAACCATTTTCGCAGTTCCTCGCCCCTCCTCCTCCTCCCCCTCCTCCTCCTCCTCCTCCTCCTCCTCCTCCTCCTCCTCCTCCTCCTCCTCCTCCTCCTCCTCCTCCTCCTCCCCCCTCCCCCTCCTCCTCCTCCTCCTCCTCCTCCTTCAGCCGCGGCCGACGGATTACAATGTTGAGTCAGCCGCGGCCGACGGATGAAGAGCGGATCCCGCGGCGCCCCCCGCACGACCATGGAAACTGTGAGGCGCGGGCCGACGGACGGCGCGCGAGAGTGGCATGGCGTTGCCAGGGCAGCGCAGGACCCCGAAGACCCCCGAGCGTGGGCTTTTCCGACGCGTGAGCCTCTTCCTGGGGCACAAAGCTGCCGAAACCGCCGCTCGAGGCAACGTTGGCCACAGAGGGCGCGCCACTGGGAATCGAACAGTCATACAGGTCCACCTCCTCCGTCCTCCCTGCCCGCTCCTCCTCTGATGGCTGGACTCCCCTCCTGGGATGCGGGTGGGGGAAGGACGAAGTGGATCTGCACAGCAATTATACCCCGAGTCTCGTTTACCATCCAATCGGCGATCCTCAGAATGTGTTCGCGCCGACGTCTGCCTGTCCACCGAAACCCTTCAGTACAACGCAGGCGGTGTGACGGGGACCCACGCAGGCTTCGCACTATCGGTGAAGCTGCGCGCACACTGGGCTGCAGCACGTCCTGAGGATCGTCGACTCAAAAGCTCCCGGAGGCCCCCCGCGAGGCCCCCATGGAGGCCACCGCGCTGGCGGCTCCCCCAAACCTGCGCGGTCGTGACTCGGCTACGGCGTGGGACCGGCCCCCGCCCCCCCCGCAGGCCCGGACCCCCTTCCCACGGGCACCGGCTCTGCATCTCGAGCCCGTGCTTGACGGTCCCCAGGCCGAGTGGGGGCCCTCTGCAAGGGAAAAAGGCGCTGTCAAAAATCTGCCGTCGTCCTGGTGTCACGGCACGGGGGGGCGGGGAAGGGGGGGGGGTCCTGGAGGCCCCCCACTTCAGGAGGGAAAAGAGCACACAGACACACTTAATCGACGGTTCCCCAGAAAAGATGGGAACATATGGGAAGTGGGGGGGGAGACAAAAGCCCAGCAAATGTGGGAAAACATGGGGGATCCTGCTGCGTGTGTGTTGCGACCTGCGGCCCCCCCCCCGTCCCGGAGGCTCCCAGGGCACGGTGGCGGACGAGGCCGCAGGCCGCCGCACAGTCTCCAGCGGTCCTGGTAGCTGTGAGCGTCGGGCACCCTCGAGGGCTCCGAGGGGCGCGCCTCGCCGTGCAGCAGCCACGACGCCAGGTTGAAGTACTGCTGGCGCATCAGAGAGTCTCCGACGAGGACGAGGTGCGGCTGCCTCGGCCTCTGCTGCAGCGCGCGCACGGCCTCGCGCAGCACGCCGCCGTCGCCCTCCTCCGCGTCCGAGGGCGGAGCTGCGCGCACGGCCCTGCTCCGGGCCCGGAACACCGCGTCCTCGGCCTGCCAGTCGGAGATCTCGGGCTCGCTCCCCTCCAGTCGGAGTGCCGCTGGCCTGGTGAGCACCGCGGTGAGGCAGGCAAGCGCCAGGGCGCGCTCCCAGGGCATCGGGGCCGACTCAGAAGACACGTGCCATAATGGATGGGCTTAATAAGCGAGTGAAAGCCTGTATGATTATGGTTGACCTCGAACCGAAACGGTGACGAAACCAACGTGATGAGAGAGAGAAGCATAACAGCACAAGGGGGACGCGGACGAGGACAAGCACGACGACGATAAAGGCGGCGACGAGGAGGAACGACCGCGGGTACCAGGACGAGCACGAGGACGATGACGGCAACCAGTGGGAGGGGCAAGAGGAGGAGGAGGAGGAGAAGAGGAGGAGGAGAAGGGATGAGCGCCACAGGAGGAGAAGGGATAGGTTGGCCTAACGTAAAAATGAAGAGAAGGGGGAAGAAGAGGAGGGGGAGGAGGAGGAGGAGGAGGAGGAGGAGGAGGAGGAGGAGGATGCCCGCGGGGTGAGGCGGACCGCGTCGAGCCACGGCCACCCCTGCGAGGCGCGCGCCCCACGCGCGCCCGCGCCTCGGCGCAGCTACGCGCCCGAGGCTGTCGGCCAGGCCTCACCCCGCGCGGCCCGCAGCAGCCTCGCCACCTTGGCTGCCAAGCCTGGCGAGCTGCTGCGCTCCCGCGCGCCGCGCCGCGGCCTCGGCCCGCCGCCTCCGCCGCCCACAGCCCCTGCTTCGCATCGA